CAATAACAACAATAACAACCAACCAACCATACTGGAGGCATCACACTACCTGACTTCAAACTATACTACAAGGCTACAGCAATCAAAATGGCATGGTACTGTTACCAAAATAGAGATATAGACCAATGGAACAAAACAGAAGCCTTAGAAATAATGCCACACATCTACAACCAGCTGATCTTTGACAAACCTGACAAAAACAAGCAATGGGGAAAGGATCCCCTATTTAATAAATGATGTTGGGAAAACTGGCTAGCCATATGCAGAAAGCTGAAACTGGATCCCTTTCTTACACTTTATACAAAAATTAAGACCTAAAACCATAAAAAACCTAGAAGAAAACCTAGGTAATACCATTCAGGACATACACATGAGCAAGGACTTCCTGATTAAAACACCAAAAGCAATTGCAACAAAAGCCAAAATAGACAAATGGGATCTAATTAAACCAAAGCGCTTCTGCACAGCAAAATAAACTATCATTAGAGTGAACTGGCAACCTACAGAATGGAAGAACATTTTTGCAATCTACTCATCTGACAAAGGGCTAATATCCAGAATCAAATTTACAAGAAAAAAACAACCCCATCAGAAAGTGGGCGAAGGATACGAACAGACACTTCTCAAAAGGAGACATCTATGTGGCCAAGAAACATATGAAGTAAAGTTTATCATCACTGGTCATTTGAAATGTGAATCAAAACCACAATGAGGTATCCTCTCATGCCAATTAGAATGGAAATCATTAAAAAATCAGGAGACAACAGATGCTGGAGAGGATGTAGAGAAACAAATGCTTTTACACTGTTGGTGGGAGTGTAAATTAGTTCAGCCATTGTGGAAGAAAGTGTGGCAATTCCTCAAGGATCTAGAACTAGAAATACCATTTGACCCCACAATCTCATTACTGGGTATATACCCAAAGGATTATAAATCATTGTATCATAAAGACACATGCACATGTAAGTTTACTGCGGCACTGTTCACAATAGCAAAGACTTGGAGCCAACCCAAATGCCCATCAATGATAGACTTGAAAAGGAAATTGTGGCACATACACACCATGGAATACTATGCAGCCATAAAAAGGATAAGTTCATGTCCTTTGCAGGGACATGGGTGAAGCTGGAAACCATCATTCTCAGCAAACTGACACAAGAACAGAAAACCAAACACTGCATGCTCTCACTCATAAGTGGGTGCTGAACAATGAGAACACATGGACACAGGGTGGGGAACATTACACACTGGGGTCTGTTGAAGGGTGGGGGAGCTAGGGGAGGAACAGCATTAGGAGAAATACCTAATTTAGATGGGGTGATAAATGTAGCAAACAACCATGGCACATGTACAACTATGTAACAAACCTGCACGTTCTGCATACATACCCCAGAACTTAAAGTATAATAATCGTTTAAAAACTGGCCTGGCCATGGTAGCTCATGCCTGTAATCCCAGCACTTTGGGAGGCTGTGGCAGATGGATCACTTGAGGTCAGGCATTCGAGACCAGCCTGGCCAACATGGTGAAACACTGTCTCTACTAATAATACAAAAATTAGCTGGCATTGGTGGTGGGCACCTGTAATCTCAGCTACTAGGGAGGCTGAGGCAGGAGAATTGCTTGAACTTGGGAGGTCAAGGCTGCAGCGAGCTGATTGTGCCACTGCACCGTAACCTAGGTGACGGAGTGAGACTCCATCTCAAAAATAATTGAAATAATTTATTTCAATTATGAATAATGAAATAAATGAAAATAAAATAACTTACTGATTTGGTAAACTAGGTATTCTAAAATGTTCAGCCTGTATCTCAGATCTATGATCTATTTTTTCATACAGTCTCTTCACTCTTCTCAAAGCCTAGTCTTCTTTGTCTCCACCACAGATCCAGGCTTGTCTTGCCCATTTTTGTTTGTTTTCTTTTTTTAAGAGTGTCATTCTGTAGCCCAAGCTAAAGTGCAGCAGCATGAATCTCAGCTCACTGCAACCTTCACCTCCCAGATTCAAGCGATTCTCGTGCCTCAGCTTCCCAAGTAGGTGGGATTACAGGCATGCACCGCTATGCCTGGCTAACTTTTTATTTAGTAGAGACAGGGTTTCACCATGTTAGTCAGGCTGGTCTCAAACTCCTGTCCTCAAGCAATCCACGTGCCTCAGGTTCCCAAAGTGCTGGATTACAGGCATGGGCCTCTGTGCTCAGCCCTTGCCCACTTTTCTTTACCAGTTTTCTTGGACTTCTCAGAAGTCTTCACTCTTGCTCCTAGCTCTTAAGAACCTTCTGTTCCTCTATTACAAGGCTGACCTCAGTCTGGCTTGCATTAGGTATAGGTATCTGCCATATGTATCTTGCATGGTTCCCAGAATAGAACTCCTGTGGACTGCTTCACAATCACCTAGGGCGTCCTAGAAGCTCATCAGTAGGGCTGTGGCTCACCTGGACACTTAAACGTCTCTTATTTCCTTAGATAATCCTGGAAGTGAGGTCAGGTGTTAGAGCTACTGCAAAACTATCCAAAGGCAGAAGCAGAGCCCTAGTCATTATTCTGTTCCCCCTACCATGCCTTAAACCAGGCGTCCCCAAACTTTTTACACAGGGGGCCGGTTCACTGTCCCTCAGACTGTTGGAGGGCCGCCACATACTGTGCTCCTCTCACTGACCACCAATGATGAAAGAGGTGCCTCTTCCTGAAGTGCGGCGGTGGGCCGGATAAATGGCTTCAGGGGGCCGCATGCGGCCCGCGGGCCGTAGTTTGGGGACGCCTGCCTTAAACTTTGCCAGCATTTAATAAATGGTTTTTGAAAAGAATGCTGTCCTTGTTTGAGGACTACACAGGCCTGACTGCCTAATGATCTGCAACAGAACGTATGCAAGAAAACCTAAGGAGCAAAGAAGTTGAGTGATTTCAGCCCTTTCAGTATTAGGGAAATCTGCTAGCAGCAAATCCACTAGAAAACGGTGACTGCCTTTATATTGTTCATGCTAATCTGTAAACTGGGGTTAAACCGAAGTCACTATATTGGAAGCTGCTCCTCTTTAAGCAATCATTATCAAGAGTGTATACTTGGTTAGACTGTTTAGTTTTCCAAGGCTGCCACAAGAAATTGCCATGGACTGGTGAGACTACACAGAAATGTATTGTCTCGGTCACAGTTCTGGAGGTTAGAAGTCTGAGATGGAGGTTAGAAGTCTGAGATGGCGGCAATGGCAGGACTGTTCGGAGGGCTGTGAGGGAAGGACTTGTTCCAGGCCTCTTTCCTAGGGCTTGTAGATGGCCATCTTCTTCTTCTGTTTTCACATCTTCCCTCTGTATAAGGCTTTGCCCAAATCTTCTTTTCCTAACGACACTAGTCACATTGGGTTAGGTCCTAATTTAAGGACTTCATTTTAACTTAGTTTCTTCTTTAAAGACTATCTCCAACTAGTCAAGTTTTGAAGACTACTGGAAGTTAGGACTTCAGCATATGATTCTGGGGTATTGGTGGGGGGTAGTCTGTTCCGCCTGTAACACAGCATAATCACTTGTGTACATGGAGATGTGTCGTTTCTTAGTATCTCCAAGATGCAATTTGGTGATCAGATAATTAAGCTTACATACTTGATGGGGGGCTGACAGCTTCTGGCATCAGGACACAGCAAAGGAGTGTTTACTAAAAAGTGGGTACACAGGTCAACAGTGTGAAAAGGCTGAAAACTCGGGTAGTTCCTGTTACCTATGCCCTCCGAGAATCTCAGCACAACAAAAATGCCAGGATTATGAGCAACTCACCTTTCTGGGAAGGAAACGCCTAGCATACACTGGGAGCTGCAAGAATACTCTGAACTAGTTTATAGGCTTTGGCCCTGAAAACTCAAATTATTCCAGTTTTAGTTGTATTACTAAAATCTAGGGTTTCTTGGGTCATCTATACCTCAATTTTTTTTTTTTTTTTTTTTTTTTTTTTTTTTTTTTTTTTTTAAGCATAGAAACCTATGTTAAAATGGAAAATGTAGACTAACTGAAAACAAGTATATTAGCTATTGTTTACTCTGTGTTGAGTACTGTGGGAGCCACTGACATGTATGAAATTAACATCTAACAGTATAATGAAGTGGCACTCTTAATATTAACTCTCCATTTACAGTAAAGCAGCATAGAGAACTCACATAATTTGGCCAAGGTTACAAACCATCACACAGCAAAGCCCACACTAGAGAATATTCTGCAGGGCTCTAAAGCCTACATACACGTCCTGCCTCTCACTGTGACCATTTACTCAACAGCAGCAATAAATAAGGCCACCCAAAATGGGCAGAAAAGGCTGAATACAATCGTGTCAAAAGGCACTTAATCATCTGTTCATCTTGTGAAAATGACCTAGAATTTAAAACTAATAAGTTAAAAAAAACACAGTTTTTTATAAATACTTAGCACTAATAGCCACATTCTCACTAAAGTTTTCCAAGCTTCCTCTGCTGTTTGTGTTTCTGTGACTCTAGGTGTACTATTTTGGGCATTATTTCAGTCTTGAGAATGAAGGAAATTAACCCAGTGTGTGCTACTGAGATAAAGGAAGAAAGGGAGCTTATAGTCCCAGTACCAGTAGTTTCCTGGGAATGGGGGAGCCTGCCAGCTGGATGACTTTGGCAAAAGACCGAGTTTGAAGCTGCCCTAGGAACCATGGCTGCCCTGATGGAGGCATCATGACCCACTGTCGTCAGCCACCCCTAACCACCCACAGCACATCCCTCAACCCTCCACACTGCAGACCTGCCACACTTCTCCAAGGAGGTAACAGAGTAAAGGCATACCTTAGGGAGGAAGAGGGCAGAAGAGGGCTGGAGGCACAAGAAGCAGTTTGTCAAGCACTAATAGCAGAAACAGTAAGAACATGATCTCAAACCTGTAATACTCTGGAAATGCTTTCTCTCATTTAACCTCAGAAAAATTCAAATTGTACTTGACATTCTCTAGAAGACTCACTCATCTCCTTCCTCCATAAAATGAGACTACCAGAGGAATCCTGTATTTTAAAAAAGCTTTAATTTCAATCCTTCCTAGAGGAATACAGACTTGAATGAAATACATTCATTCCATAAATACATTAGCAGCAAAACCTTCCCACCAGAGTCCTCTACTCCAGCCCAGAGGTTGTGCCTTGAGCAGAAGAGCATGTTCCATCAACCCTGTCAACTTAAGGGTGGGTCTGCTTCTGAAAAACGCTGGCTGTGCATTGAAGACACAATGACTGGGGGCACAGGTGACTTAACTAAGCTGGGACCCTAAAAACAGGCCCATGTGGTGACCATTCAACCTTCTTTACCTTCCAAATCCTTTGGCCTTTTCCATGCTTCTCTGATGAGGTTCCTCAGCATGGAGACAACTGGGAAGACCTAACTTTGCACATGCATTTAATGCATTTGTAGTCATTTGTTGTTTTGAGTTGGCAATGTTTTAATGGCATCTTAACACTTTCCATAAGGTAAACGAAACATAAAAGATTATTCCCTTCCTTCCCTTCTCAGGTGAGTCCACATGTACTTATCATTTGACAATCCAGCAGGCATTATTTGGGCTCTCTATACCTCCAAGGCCCCTTTGTTTGAATAGCTGGAAGCTTTACTGGAGACAGAGAGCCATGCCTAAACCTACAAAGATCTCTACGTAACAATAATCAGATGACTTGCTCAGGCTTCCATCAAAGCTAGTTTCTTGGGCAGAGGCCTGGCATCTCTTGTCCTCTTCTCTCCATTATTGCCTACTGACTGACTGCTGCTTTTTTATCTGCCCTATAGGCATCTGCTGAAACTCTGGAAAGCAAGATCTACCCTAAAATCCCAAGCAGCTAGCAGTTAAGGCAGGTGCTACTTTAAACTTACTAGCTGTCAAGTATCACACCTATGCCGCTGTATCCCAATCCATGCTGTGGTGAGTATAAGTCACAAGAGTCTGCATAGAACACAGTCAGTAATCAGGATAGCTATGGGCAAGGACAAAGTTTAGAATGTTACCAAGTCACAGGACCAGAAGGGAAATAGGTTAATGGAAGAATGTGAAACAATAAATCTGATTTGTTTGAGCAGAAGGCAGTTCTGATTCAGGCATAAATGCATCTCCCAGATTATCATGTAAATAAAAAACAGACCTCTCAAGTTGACACTTCCCTCCCAGTCCATCATTAAAACAGGCCACATGCTCTCTTTTCCTTATCTGTTTTAAAGTGTTTTCAATAGGATGCTCTTCCATAAGTGCTTTATTCATTCCCATTCAGTCTGTCTGACTATTGGCTGAAAATATAGCAGGAACTATTTTATATAAAAACCATTATAGTAGATAATTGGTTATGTGTATTTTTCCATTTGTATTTTCATCCAAAATAGCTTCTTTTCCTTTTATTTATGTGCAGAGAGAGACTCATCCGCTGAATATACAGCACTGTTAATCCTACAGTCTTCTGTCCCTACAGAGTCTGCTAGATCTTCCTCTTCTGAGTCATCCTCTTCTTCCTCCTCTGGTGCTGATGAACTGGAGGTGGGCCCTTTGCAGGTTTTCAGGTGGCGAGTGAGATGGTATTTGGTTAGATAAGCCTTTGTACATTTTTCACAGACATAATCCCGTTTTCCTTCATGAGAATTGAGATGCTTCTTTAAGTGATTTGTTCTCAAGAACAGCTTATCACACTTGGGACACTTGATCTGGCGTTCTCTAAGAGGAACACAAGAAAAAATGATTGGGGGTTGCAAATAACAACTGAGGCAACACTTATTCTTCATCACCTCGGGCCTTTGTCAGAGCAACTCTATCCTCCTGAATCAGGCTTTTGCATAGGCGATATACAGAAGACCCATAAAACATGCACAGTTTAAAGCAACATAGGCTGATTTTGCCTATTTTAGAACTCAATTCTTGAATTCTATGTAAATTCTATGTATTCTATATGTATTTCTGTCTTGCTGCATTCTCTCAATATGATGCTGATAAAATTCATTGAAGTTGATGTATCAGTTGCTTATTCCCTTTCACTGCTGTGTACGATTTACAAATATGCCACAACTTAACTATGGTACTGGATTTGTCTCTAGCGAATGGATATTTTGGTGGCTTCCAGTTTTTTATTATCACAAGCAAGAGTGCTATGAATGCTTTTAATTTTTTTTAAATTTTTATTATTATTTTTTAGAGACAGGGTCCCACTGTGTTGCCCAGGCTGGAGTCCAATGGCTATTCACAGGTGCGATGGTCGTGCACTACAGCCTTGAACTCCTGAGCTCAAGTGATCTGTCCACCTCAGCCTCCCAAGTACCTGTGACTATAGGTGCATGCCACTGCACCTGGCATTTGGACATTTCAGTACTTGCATGGTTCTCTGCTGTATATATGTTTCTCTAGGGTAAATACCCAAGAGCTGTATAGCTGAATCAAAGGATATGAACATCTTCAACTTTATAAGATAATGACAAACTGTTTTCCAATGCAGTTGTTTGAATATGCACATCTATCACTGGTGGTTCTGGTTGTCTCACATTCTCAACAACTGGAAGACTAAAATTTGAAAATGTTTGCCAATTAGCCAGCATATAATGTATCTCATTATGCTGTTATTTGTATTCCCTGAATGCCACTTTAATGGAATTGCCATTTTTCTGTCCTTTTCATAGACTAGTGGTTTTCAGGTAGGGGGCAACTGCCTCTATGGGGGCATCTGGCAATGTCTGGAGGCCTTTCTGATTGTTACACTGGGGAGGGGTGGTACAATGAGCATCTAGTGGGAAAAGGTCAAGAATGCTGCTAACCATTCTACAATGCACAGGGCAGCCCCATAGCAAAAACTTAAGTGGGTCGAAATGTCAACAGTGTTAAGGTTTGAGTAACCCTGGCCTAGACCTTTTAGAGCTGAAAAGAACCTTAGAGATCACACTGACCAGGAATTTTTTAACTTTTTTGAGCAGCTTAACCCCATATCTTTATGAAACCCCTATATGAATCAGATAAAGCAAGTTATTAATAAAATCCTGGAAGGAGGGATAGGGTGCAGTTGGGGAAGCCTGGCTTCCTTAGCATTTCTCCCATCCTCTTCTAGCAAGAGATGCCACTGAAGAATCCTTGGAATTCCCCAAAGCAGTTTTAAAACCACCAATCTAATCCAACCTCCTAATTCTCCAGATAGGAAACGTGTGCATAAAAACTACTAAGTAACTCGCCCAAGGCCACAACAAAACCCAAATCAGAAGTCTGACTTTTCATCTTATAGCCTTCTGGTTTTTACATGTTCGTATTTACTGTGTCTAATATATGCCAGGCACCGTTCTAGCTGCTAGGGCTATAGGATGTGGGTAAACAAGGTCCCTGCCTTCCTGATTCTTACATTCTAGTGGAGTGATTATACCATATGCAAATGTATAACACGATATCAGTTAGCAGTAAGGACTATGAAAATACATGAAGCCAGGTAAAAGTGATGGGTCCTATTTTAGATAAGATAGTCAAGGAAGGCCCTTCTGAGGAGCTATTTGAGCAGAAACCTAAATGAAGGGAAGAAGACATGCAGATAGATATCTGGAGGGAGAAGTTTCTAAGGCAGAGGCCCTGAGACTGGATGTGCTTACTATGCTCAAGGAGTAGCAAGGGGAGGGTCAGAGTGGCCAAAGCAGAATAAGAAAAGTAAAGATGAACGGGAGAGGTAGTTAAGTACTATTACCACATCATAAGGGGCCTCTGACTATGGTAAAAAGCTTTTAATACAAATATGATGGAAAGCCACCAGAGATTTACGAGTAGAGGCAGGCACAAAAATGACTTATATTTGAAATGGACTGCTCTGGCACCATGGACAGAATACTGTGTGTATATGTGTTCATCTGTGCCATGGAATAGAGGAGGAGAAACAGAAGCAGTACCAGGGAGATCAAATGGGAGGCTACAGAAGCCATCCATGCAAGAAAAGCCAGTAATCTGGACAAGGTGATAGTTGAATGAAGGAAGGAAGGAAGGAAAAACTGAGTTGAGAATTATTCCAAGGTGTTTGGCTTGACCATTGAGGTGAATAATGGTGGTGCCATTTAATGAGCTGTTCAGCACCGGAAGAAATCAAGTTTGTGGGGTAATACTGAGTTGAGTTTTGGACAGATTAGGTTTAAGTTGCCTAGTATGACATCCAGGGCATCAGAGCTGCTGAGTGATAGTGAGGTGTATGAGGCTGGAGACATAAATCATTAAGATAGTATCTAAAGCCATGAGACAAGATGATCTGGGGAGCAAACATCACTGCTCTTCCTCTCACTTCCTCTTTCTTACAGGTAGGGCAAAGCAAGGTCTGTCACAATCCTTCCACACTCGGGGAGAACTCTTACAATTGGGTTTACAGCTACAGCTATTTTCTCTCTCTCTCTCTCTGAGTCGGAGTCTTACTCCACCGCCCAGGTTGTAGTGCAGTGGTGTGATCTCGACTAGCTGGGATTACAGGTGCCCACACCCAGATAAATTTTGTATTTTTAGTAGAGACAGGTTTCACCATGTTGGCCAGGCTGGTCTCAAACACCTGACCTCAGGTGTTCTGCCAGCCTCAGCCTCCCAAAGTGCTTGAATTACAGGCATGAGCCACTGTGCCCAGCCTGTTTTCTTTTTAAGTAGATAAATAAAAAGATTGTCAATACTACTATATCCACTTTGAAATGCCCCAAAGTAAAAATGCAAGCATCTGAAAATTTTACCAATGATCTCCATAGGAAGCCTAAAGTCTCATTCAAAAATATGTTGAGGGAATAGTGCTTCTTATATGAATGACTTAAACCAGCTTTAAGTTTTGACAGTCCAAAAAATGTCTATCCTATGAAACTTCTACCCTTGCCAGAGACACTGTGGAAATCAGTCTTGCATATGGATGAAATCGGTAGTCCTTAACCCTGGCCGGGCATGAGGGTCACTTGGAGAGCTTTTTAAAATACCAAGGCCAGGGCAAAGAGGCTTACCATATTTTCTCATCCTGACAGAGTCCAGATCCACATTTGTTAAGCAAATGTAAAATGAAAGGATAGAAGCTGATATTAGCTTGATTCAAGCAAAACTTTTCCTCAAACTATAATTGTGTGATATTTAAGAAACAATATATCCACTTGCCAGAGACACTGTGGAAATCAGTCTTGCATATGGATGAAGTCAGTAGTCCTTAACCCTGGCCGGGCATGAGAGTCACTTGGAGAGCTTTTTCAAATACCAAGGCCAGGGCTCTAACTCTGACCAATTAAATTAGAATTCCCATGGGTAGAGTCCTAGCATCAATTGTTGTTTTTCACGGTTTCTAGCAATTATAACGGGCAGTCTTCTGGACAAATATGTATCCCCCGACCCCAAATTCGAATGTTGAAGCCCTAAAAGCCAGTGTGATGGGAGCCCTAACACCCAATGTGAGGTGGAGCCTTTGGAAGGTAATTAGGGTTAGATGAGGTCATGAGGATGGGCCCTCCATGATAGGATTAGTGTCCTTATGAGAAGAGATCAGAGTTCTCATTCTTTCTGTTTCATTCTCTCAAGAGAAATGTATTTTCTCACTGTCCTAGAGGCTGGAAGTCTGAGATGAGGGTACCAGCCTGGCTGGGTTCTGGTGGGGGCCCCCTTCCTGGCTTGCATGGCTGCCTTCTCTCACTGTCTCTCCCCTGCTGTTTGAGCCACACGATCTGTGGTATTTTATTATTGCAAGCTGGGCTGTCTAGACAGGCTGTTAGATTAGATGATCCTGAGGATCTTTTTTAGCTCCAATATTGCACAGTCCAATGTAATATTTGATAATTTGTCTAATTTTCTAAAATTTCACACTAGCAATAAAACTAAAAACGTCTTTGTTTTGGAATGTCCTTCTGAGAGTTTGGAAGGTAGACCCAGATTCCTTGGCTGTTTAATGTCTCTGGCTGCATTGTGATGAGGAAGGAGACAGAACTGCTATCAAAGCAAAGTGTTTATCCAAATTCTACATTAAGAATATGTTTCTGCCGGGCGCGGTGGCTCAAGCCTGTAATCCCAGCACTTTGGGAGGCCCAGGCAGGTGGATCACGAGGTCAAGAGATCGAAACCATCCTGGTCAACATGGTGAAACCCCATCTCTACTAAAAATACAAAAAAATTAGCTGGGCATGGTGGTGCGTGCCTGTAATCCCAGCTACTCAGGAGGCTGAGGCAGGAGAATTGCCTGAACCCAGGAGGCGGAGGTTGCAGTGAGCCGAGATCGCGCCATTGCACTCCAGCCTGGGCAACAAGAGCAAAACTCCGTCTCAAAAAAAAAAAAAAACAGAGAATTTCCATATGTTTTCTTCCTTTTGTGACACTTGCTAAAAGCTAAAGACAACAAAATCTATCTCTTCTTTCTATGATCACTGTGACTAATGCAGTCTAGACATTTAATTACATTTGGATTCATGTGATAAATTCCGAATTGGCCCTCCAATATTTGGTCTTCTCCACCCTCAATCATCCTCTATTCAGCTGCCTGAGTAATCTTATTATTAACAGAATGGGTATATCACTATGACACTCTTTCCTTAAAATCCTATAGTGCTTGCACAACAACGTGAATGTAACTAACACTGTTGAACTGGACACTTACAAATGGTTAAGATGACAATTTTTACTGTAATTCAGAAACACACACACACACACACACACACCCAACAGAACAGTTCCAGAATGACAGGGGCTGGCAGATCCTTCAGTGTCTCACAATTATTTCTAGAATGAAATTGAATTTTCTTAATAGGATCAAAGGTTCTTCACGGTGTAGCTGCTGACTTTCACTCCTCTCATTCCATCATTCCCTCTCTCCTATGCACACTATCGTCCTAACTATAAGCAATCACTTGTAGTCAATAGCCCTTTTTGCCTCTATATTTTTGAAGATGTGACAAAAGAGTACATGTGAAAAATAAGAAAAAGAAAGCCAATAAATCTTCTAGGCTAACACCAAAAACAGTGTTCCAACCTTAGCTTGGCTACACAGGAGGCATCTACCATGGTATCAAAGCAGGAAACAGATAATGAGCCAGGACTCCCAAGCCCTTCAATCGGCAGGAGAGCTACAGCCACACAAAGACTCACCACCTGAGGAATGACGTCTTGGCTGCAGGGTTACTTACTGAGTGTGGATAAGCACATGCTGCTTGAGGTCCTGCCGCCGCATAAACAACTTGTCACAGTAATCACACTTGAGATTCTTCTCCCCAGTGTGGATAACCATGTGGGACTCCAGGTGAGCCTTCTGGGTGAAAGACTTGTCACACAAAGTACACCTGTAGTTCTTCTGACCTGCAAATCACCCCAAAGTATTACCCATGAAGAAAACAACTGCTGGCATCCCTGAGACAAGCAGGTACATATATGGGCATGCAGCAGAGGCAGGAATGAAACAGCGCTGATTGCTGAGTGGCACTTTACTTTCTAAGGATGTCTATGCGGGACCACTCAGAGCCACTGAGTTTATATTGTGCAACTAAAGCTAGTAAATTAATCTAATCTCCTTTAGGACCTCTGACCTAAACATGTATTTTTTTAAAATTTATAGGTGATATCTAAAACTTGAAAAAAAAAATGATTAGTGCCCTACCTAACACAAACATTAAGCAAAAAAACTTTATGAATTCTAGGACTTGTCTATAGGGAAACATTTTTACAAGCTAGTTTTCTACTTTTTTAAAACATGTAATATGGCCTCAGAAACCAGGGATAAAATAAAAATCCTTCCAGAAATGCAAAAATAAGATTTCTTTAAGTCAGTGGTCAGCAAACCTCTTAAAGGCAAGATAGAGTTTTAGGTTTTGTGGATCATGAGGTCTCTGCTGCAAAAAAGAATGAGAAGAAATTTCTGAATATTTGGAGAAAAGATGACCCAAACAAGAAAGCTAAAGCCATTGGTTATTTTGTAGTATGCATTTCAAAAAGTTAGTGGCCAGGCATGATGGCTCAGGCCTATAATCCCAGCATTTTAGGAGGCTGAGTTGGGCAGACTGCTTGAGCCCAGGGGTACAAGACCAGCCTGGGCAACATGGCAAAACCCAATCTATATTAAAAATAAAAAAATTAGTCAGGTGTGGTGGCACAGGTCTGCAGTCCATGCTACTCAGGAAGCTGAGGTGGAAGGATCACCCGAGCCCTGGAGGCAGAACTTGTAGTGAGCCAAGATGGTGCCACTGGACTCCAGCATGGGTGACAAAGTGAGATGCTGTCTCAAAAAAAAAAAAAAAATTTTTTTTAAATACTAAAAGAAAGGTGTTGTTTTGCATGGAGTTTAGAAAATGGAAGCTCAAAAAATAAACTGTGGCAGTATTTATACTGAGCAATAATATTAAAGGAGAGAAACTGGCTGTGGCTGGTGACTAGGGGGTGAGCTCTAATGAGAAGCTCAGACTCAGAAGCTTCTATAGAATTCCCTTTATGTTCAAACACATTGATCAACTTCCTGATTATTAACTGCATTTTCCCAGGCACCTTCTAACTATGGTGGGGAAACCTAGAAAGCAGAACATTAATAATTGGAAGTGGCAGCTTCCAAGGAATCTGTTAAACCACAGAGGTTTACCACCCTGGATTCTTTCTCTGACATCAAACCTCAACTCCACCTACAATCCCTCTACAAAGCCTTTACTACCACATTTTCTAATTGCTGCAAAAATTCCATTCTGTTGGTCCAAACACAACTTACCTGTATGTATCTTGAGGTGGGTCCGCAGGTTGCTGGGATCACTAAAAGCCTTGCTACAGAAATCACACTTGTGGGGCTTCATACCCATGTGACCCATAAAGTGGACATGAAGTTTAGAAGGAGAGATAAAAGCTTGGGGGCACATTGAGCACTTCCACTTCCTTTCTTTGTTGTGACTTGGCCCATGGCTGCCACTATGGCCCTGGGTAGGAAGATGGTTATGAATGTGGCTGGTCAGATGGGCTTTGAACTCTGTGTAAGAATTGCATTCCTTGCCACAGTTACAGAGGTGCACATCTGGGTGTTCAGGAACACCTTAAAAAAAAATTACTCATTATTTCCTGATACTTGAATCTTAAAACTTGTTCTTGATATTAACAATCATTGATTGCAGTTGTCCTTTCTCCCAAAATTTCCTATTTGCCCACTTCCTATAAAACTATAATGTCTTATTCAGTGATCTATCTCCAGCATCTAAAATAGTGTACTAAGGGTCAGGCACAGTGCCTCTTATGCCTGTAATCTTAGTGCTTTGAGAGCCCAAGGTGGGAGGATCACTTGAGGCCAGGAGTTTAAGATCAGCCTGGGCAACACAGCAAGATCCCATCTCCATTAAAAAAAAACTTAAAAATCATTGGCTGGGCATGGTGGTGCACACCTGTAGTCCTAGCTAATTAGGAAGCTGAAGCAGAAAGACTGCTTGAGCCCAGGAGTTCAAGGTTACAATTGGCCATGCTTGTACCACGACATGCCAGGCTGACAGAGTGAGACCTTATCTTTAAATACACACATAAAAGAGAGTACCAGGCACAAAGAAAGCACTTGGTAAATACTGAATTATAAGGTCTCTTTTCTAGGCAAAATATTTAGATTTTGTAGCATACACAAACTCTTAAACATCACTTGTCATGATTAAACAGCACAGAAAAGAGAAAGCCTATGCAGATTAAATCAAACCGAGGAACTTTTTTGTCCTTTGTGAATTTATATCTCAATGGTGCTAGCTTTAAAAGTAGCCTTAGGAACTTCAATGCCCCAAACCAAAGCCCTACCATAAAAGATCATGTCATATGAATACTACTTGGTCAATAACATTCAGCTTGTGAAGAACCTCACAAATTTTAACACCTCAAATACAGAAGTAATAGTTTGCTTTTATACAAACAAAAGTTTAACAAGTAATTAACAAAACTTTAATCCTGGTGTTTGGTATTTTTATTATGCTAGATTCATGATAAACACATCTTATATTAACTTACCAATCTGCTGAGCATAATCTCGGCTGTAATAAAAAAGCAGTTCATTTTCAGGAGGGATATCTTGTGAAGTGCAGAAAAAGATTTTTCCATCATGAGGATAAGCCACCAAATTCTGCTCTTCCCGGTTCCTAAGTTATCACATTTAATAGATGGAGCACATTAATTTTGAAATGCATACTAAACATAACATTCCCCCCAGTGCAAAATCCTATATGAAAGCTTAGGGAGAACTATTTTCTCTGGAATGTTTTTGTAATTCCCTGTCCTATCTATGAGGAGGCAGTTCTCTACAATTCTGTAGAGAAACAGAATTCTTATTTCAGCACATTAGCTAATGACCTTTTATAGTCAAAAACACTACAGTCTGTTACTGGAAGCAAAAAAGGCAAATAAAATGAAGTCTTAAAAAACAAAGTATGACAAAGACATAGAGATAGCTAGCTAAACAAGAATTAACTCTAGTAACTCAGGGGTGCGCTAACAGCCAATATAATGAAAAGGCACCCACTTGCAAATTCAGTGGTGACTATATTGTTCTTGGTAAGTTTTTTCTTTCTTGTTTTTTTTTTTGAGACAGGATCTCACTTTGTCACCCAGGCTGGAATGCAGCAGCACCACTGTATGATAATAGCTCACACTCTTCAGTTCAAGTGATCCTCCCACCTCAGCCTCCCAATAGCTGGGACTACACAGGTATACCACAACACCAGCTAATTTGAAAAAAAATTTTTTTAGAGATGAGGGTCTTGCTGTGTTTCCCAGGCTGGTCTCAAACTCCTGGCCTCAAGCACTTCTCCCACCTCAGCCACCCTAACTGCTGGGATTAAAGGTGTGAGCCACCATACCTGGCTGCCTTAGGCTTTAAGTACATCCAAGTATTGGTGTAATTTGGATTCTTAACTCTTCTCTCTGTCATGCAAAGCTTCCTACTGAAAAACATCTAAATGGTAACTATTTTTCTCATCCAGACTACACATACCTGGCTCTGCGCACAAACATCATCCAATTACATTCATTTTCGTCAGTTGTGATGATGCAGAATTCTAGGACACCGTTGTGGTATATCTGCCAACAGAAAACAAACACATATGTCAAATACACTGTCGGGGACCGTCCGGGACGGGTAGGCACATCTGCCGGGGGTCTCTCGACCTGCAAGAGGGTCCCAATACCTGGAAGAGAGAGTGCACGGAAGAAAGGGAGACAGAAAGCGAGGCGTCTGGAGGGCTGGATAGGCTGTGCCTAAACAGCAAATTTTATTTTTCGAAGGCCAGGAATAAATACACTTTCTTTGCTCTGGTTTACGTCATTGCAAGAGGAAATGCAAATCTATACCTTACATGGCCTATACAGTAGAGAAGTCAGATACACAATCAGTGGTTGTAAAAAGTAACAAAATTTCCTGCGATCACAAAACTTGTTTACATCCAGACATTATTCCTCCTGGCTGCAGGTATCTCTGGTTTGATCTTGTTTTAGAACTGAGATATGAAAAGGTTTTCTGGTTTTGCTCATCAGAGTATCTTTTAACCAGATTCTCCTTTGTCTGCTCCTGACTCAACTTATCTCAACTCCCCCATTCAGGAGTCTCTGAGTCAGGGATCAAAGCCATCCTGTATGGGGGCATTTGCTTTGCAAATATCCCCACAGTTAAACCATTATCTAGGGTACAAGGCAGTCAGGCAAGTAAAGAAAAGTTTAAAACTATACTTAAAGAAAGAGTCATAAAGATTAAAAGCAGAAACTGGTTGCTGTTAGGGAGTCACTCGGTCTCGCAGCACCGCATAGTTTTAGGCCCAAACGATATCGTGGTTGATATTAGAAACTGATCATCCATCTTTCAGTTCCTTTTTCCAATACCTGGACTGCCTCCAGTAGGAAACTGTGTTTGGGATCAAACTCACCGTATAGTGAGACCCATGCCTTTTGGGGGGTCTCACACGGGAATGTTCCCCACAATACACTGACATGCAATAAAGTACTACACTACAGTTAGGCCAGCAATCATCTCATTTACTCATTTGCAGTAGCTTTCCCAGTTAGTGTGAAAATAAATTCCTGCCTTCTCCAACATGCTATCATTTCAACATTCTCCCTATTTCCAGCAATACCATAAAGACTGTCAGAGATCTACAGCCAGTGCTCAGTGAAGAGATTAATGTTTTGATTATTTACCCTTTGCCTGGAAAAGACAAAAAAAATGGTCTACCTGTCTTCATCACCTATCACATGGTAGGCACTAAATGACTGCATGTCCATTAGAATCATTCCTTCTCATTATTTTCCCACTTGGGCTTGGCATTCCAAATTTAAAGTTCCCAATGACAGTGGTACCTTACCTTTCCAATGATCACAAGACACATTTCCCCCTTACTAGAATTTTGCAAGCATCATTCCCAACAGATGTCTACGTGAAAATCTTGCAATTCTAACCTCTCTCATTAGAAAACTACAAGAATAGGCCAGGCGCGGTGGCTCATGCCTGTAATCCCAGCACTGTGGAAGGCTGAGATGGACCTCACCTGAGGTCAGGAGTTCAAGATCAGCCTGGCCAACATGAGGAAACCCTGTCTCTACAAAAATTAGCTGGGCATGATGGCAGGTGCTTGTAATCCCAGCTACTCAGGAAGCTGAGGTGGAAGAATCACTTGAGCCTGGGAGGTGGAGGTGGCAGTGAGCCAAGATTGCGCCACTGCACACACCAGCCTGGGCGACAGAGTGAGACTCCTTCTCAAAAAGAAAAAGAAAAAGAAAAAGAAAAAGAAAAAGAAAAGAAAACTAGAAAAATAATCTTAGATTTTTATCGCAGAACTGTTTCCTAAGATAAATATTTGAGGAATGTTTTTAGTTGATTATAAAATAAGACTTTTATCATATAAACAAAGTCTATGGCCTCAGCTGTCACAAGTAATTAAAATGCATTAAATGGTTAAAATGATTGGATTAACTCACAAAACAGAGACAAAAACAGTTTGTCTTCTATTTCCAGTCACTGGTGTTTCGCTGTGTGTTGTAACTTGGCTACCAAGAATGACAGAATGTAACATTTTAAAAAAAAGTACATTAAATAAATGACTAACCAGTGAATGACACTCTATCAGTTCTGGCTGATTTTGACTCTTATCATTTCTTTTTAACTACCTCTAACTACTAAAAACAGCCAAAAGCCACAGAAAAGTTTCATCAAGACTGACCTTCCAGATATGGTTAACTGCCTTGTCTGTCCATTCTGCTACTTCCATGGAGTGACTCTGCTGGCCAATTAGAGGCCCAAAGCAAGTTCGCACAGGAATGGTTTCTCCAGTCCATACACCTGTCAATAGAAGGACACCAACTCCACAATCAATGATTTAAACAGCAGGATACAGAAGAGAGAGACGCTTCACCCATGCAAAGAATCTTATTTTCGGTGAACCTAATATGCTAGCACTCCTCAGAGATGGCTAAGCCTTGTGGGTCCTAGCCTGTAAATATATAAAATGTAAGGAACAGATAGATAACACAGGGCTCACAATAAATGCTCAGTAAGAAGCAGTATCAGAAATTCCTGAATCTGGTTTTATACATGTCTCTCCAAATACATTATTCTGGAGTTAAGCATAAAAAGTTTTAGCATGGTAACTCACAAACATAATGAGTCACCACTTGAGAGCCGAACGCAGGACTGCTTGAAGCTAGGAGTTTGAAACCAGCCTCAGCAACATAATGAGATGCTGTCTCTACAAAAAAAAAAAAATTTTTTTTTAATTTTTTTAAAAATTAAAAATGGTTCGGCTGATGGTTGCACATGCCTGTAGTCCAAGCTGCCTGGAAAAGGTTGAGGCAGGAAGGCTGCTTGAGCCCAAGAGGTTGAGGCTGCTGCACTCCAGATGTGAGGCCAATGCACCCCAGCCTGGCCAACAGAGAGCCAGTCTCTTAAATAAATAAAGAAAAAAGAACAGAAAATATTATTCTATTGTAAAAATATAAAGCAATTATAAAAATAAATCAAACTTCTAAAATCTTTTGTGCTTAAATCACTGTTCTATTTTACCTAATTTACTGTTTGGTGCTTTAAAATGACTCATGCCCAAACTGCAGCTAAAAGAATAATGAGTGCACCCTGTAGATGGCAAATTCCAGCAATACAAATGGGTTTAGTTCAAGCAGGTTAAATTATCACCGGGGTTGGTTTGTTTGTTTGAGACCTAATTTTATATTTCCACGTCACAGTAACTCAGAAGCCATGCTAAATTCTAATATGGCTAAGTAAAGTCTGGCAATCTACATTCTTTATTCCTTTTTCCTAAGGAGCATTATACACTTTACAAACATTTGATCTAAATTTGTGTCATTATCAGTGGTGAATTTTCCATGTTTCTATAAAAGAAACTAAGTTTTAAGAAATGTGTTATTAAAATAATTGTTAGTGGATGGGACAGCTGAGAATAAAAGTCAAATCTTCAAAGACTGAATCTAGAATTTTTTGCTTTACTTCATACCGATTCTAACAAAGGAGAAGTTTCCCAATAATGTTTTTGACTTGATTTATTGGACAAGACCAATATTCCCTAAAAGCATAAATCTTAAGCCATGAATTGACTTTTGGTCCAAATAATTACTAAATTATACACATCTACTTTCACAACTCTACCCTACAAGGGAAGAAGAGACGTAATGGTGTTTTACAGTTCCAAGGTTCTTACCAACTTCTGCTCCCACAATTGACTGACGAAGAACAAGCTGCTTTGGGAGAGAAAGTCTTGCTCTGCTCTCTATTGGAGTGTCAGGAACAAAAGTCACAGGTCCATGTTCCGGGCAGTCTGAGGGATAGGCACGGTCACAGAGAGTGCACCCTATAGATGGCAAATTCGATCAATACAAATGGGTTTAGTTCAAGCAGGTTAAATTATCACCGGGGTTTTTTTTTTTTTTTTTTTTTTGAGACGGAGTCTCGCTCTGTCACCCAGGCTGGAGTGCAATAGTGTGATCTCGGCTCACTGCAACCTCCACCTCCCGGGTCCAAGTGATTCTCCTGCCTCAGCCTCCCAAATACCTGGGATTACATGTGGTGTGCCACCATGCCCAGCTAATTTTTGTATTTTTAGTAGAGACAAGGTTTCCTCATGCTGGCCAGGCTGGTCTCAAACTACTGACCTCAGATTATCCACCTGCCTCAGCCTCCAAAAGTGTTGGGATTACATGCGTAAGCCACCATGCCCAGCACCAGGTTTAATTTAAATGCTACTAAAATGTATCCAGTAAGAAATATGGTTCTATTAGAGATATTCTGATCAAAGACTCATTTCTTTACACTAACATATATATCCATTCTTATACCACTCTTCAGACTTCAATAAGATCCGATTTTTTTCTTTTGATCCAACAGGACAAGTTTCCTATTCAGTGCATAACACAAACACTGATCAACAAATTGGCTGAGTATGGTGGTTCATGCCTGTAAACCCAGCAGTTTGGGAGGCTGAAGTAGGAGGATCACTTGAGCCCAGCAGTTCAAGACCAGCTTGTGTGTAACATAGTGAGATCCTGTCTGTTTAAAAAAAAAAATTTAAAAATAATAAAAGAAAAAATAGCACCACACTACTTCAACAAACGAGAACATTATCCCTTACACTAAGTAGACAAGTAATACATTTAGATATGATGCCCTAAAGTCCAAAAGATTCCAATTCTAAACTATAAGAGGACACTGAGTTGAAATGCTGTTAGTCATGCAGAGCGAAAATATGGCTACAGTGGTGCAGCTGGCTCTGACCCCAGTGACCTATGCTCTGTCCTGTGCTATGAACATAGGCCACTGAGGTCAGAGCCAGCTGCACCACTGTACTCTTTTGTTTCACTGTAAACAAGATGGTCAACCAGGTTTTGATGACACATTCTTAAGACGAAAATGATTTGCAGCCCATTCTTTCAAAAGACAGAAGTATACTCTAGCAGGCTTTATTTACTTAAAACTCCCAATTTCTTATTTTCATATGGTCTTTCTGCATTGGCAGAGAGGATGCTGCCTTTATATATTGTTCTCTATTCTTACCACAACTTCACTTTCACAAGCTTATGACTGTCCTCCTTCAGAAATCTTCTGCTCTATTCTTTACACTTTCCCTTCCACTCTGCTAAGTAACGGCATTTCCGATACTATTATTCAACCATTACGTTCAAACTCCAAAATTATTCACAAAATAGTTGGAATACATAAACCCTAGAACTATGGCCATCTGTCTGTCTTTTTTTTTTTTTCCTGAGACAAGGACTCGCTCCGTCACCCAGGCTAGAGTGCAGTGGCACTCCTGTTTCAGCCTCCTGAGTAGCTGGGACCACAGGTATGCAACACCATGCCCGGCTGATTTTTACTGTTTTTGGTAGAGATAGGGTTTTGCCATATTGCCCAGGCTGGTCTTGAACCCATGAGACCAGGTAGCAACATGGCAAATTGTCTCTATCAAAAATACAAAAAATTAGCCGAGCATGGTGGTGAGCTCTTGCAGTCCCAGCTGCTGGGGAGGTTGAGATGGAAGGATGGCCTGAGCCTGGGAGGTGGAGGTTGCAGTGAGCTGAGATTGCGCTACTGCTCTCCAGCCTGGGTGACACAGCCTGGCACTGTCTCAAAAAGAGAGAGAGAGAAAAAAAAAATTAACCATTGGCAAAAATGTAAAGAAACTAGAACCCCATCCACTGCTGCTAAGATGGTAGTAACATGGCATCACCACTTTGGAAAAGTGTGGCAGTCCCTCAAAAAGTTAAACATACAGCAATTCCACTCCTAGACAGATATCCAAGAACATATATTCATACAAAAACTTGTTCATGAAGAGTTCACAGCAGCATTATTCACAGAATCAAAAAGTAGAAACAATCAAATGCCCATCAACTGATAAATGGATAAACAAAATACGGTGTAGCCATATTACAGATTATTCAGCTCTAAAAATAAATGAAGTACAAATACATGCTACGACATGGATGAGCCATGACAATATTATAATAAGTGCAAGAAGCTAGATCCAGAAAGCCACGTATCTCATGATTCCATTTATATGAAACAACCAGAAAAGGCATATCCAGAGAGACAGAAACTAGCTTAGTGGTTGCTGAGAACAGGCGGAAGGAGGGAATGGCAAGTGACTAATGGGTATGAGTTTCTTTACAGGGTGATTAAAATGTTTTGGAAGGAGACAGTGGTGGTGGCTGAACAACCTTGTAAATATACTAAAAAACAACTAAATTGCACATTTAAAATGTATATATAAATTATATCTCATTATCACACAAACACTTAGAAGAGGTTCCATTTGCCCCCTTAGGAAAGAATCAATAAGTTTAGGCCACCTTTTACCTTCTACTAAATTAATGAGCCTTATGTTAATTACATTCTTGGATTGAAACATTTTAAAATTCTAAATTTGAGACTTGAAAAGGTTAAAACAAGTCTCTCTACCACATGGATTCTGTGGCACTGAACGGCTCTGGGCTTCCTCCTATTTTTGGCCCTCCTGTTGAGTCTATTTGGAAGCTCCACTTCTGTTGCTCTGTCTTGATATTCCTAGCCCTCTTCTCATTCCACTCTTACTAGATGATTTCATTCCACTTCTAGAGCCACAAATACTATTTTAATGTTGATAATCCTTAAATATTTCCAGACAGATCTCTCTCAGCTCCACACACAACTTTTCATGAAACATCTCTACTGGGTATCTTACAGACACAGCAATCAACATGTCTAAAACTCCACTATCATTGCTCCGCCCAAAATAATAAAAATAAAAATCTAATTCTCCTTTGCCTTTCACTATCCTACCGACTTAGTTGTTTGCTTTTTTTTTTTTTTTTTTTCTGAGACAGGGTCTCATTATCCCAGGCTGATACTGAACTCCTGACCTCAAATGATCTTTCTGCCTCAGTATCCCAAAGTGCTGGGATTACAGGCATGAGCCAACACATGGCCTTCTCTTGGTTAGCCAAAAACCAGGGTTTTCTCCTTAATCCTTCCCTCCTCCAACCTTATCCAATCAATAAGCTCAACTGGGTTCTCTATAAATGTCCTCCACTTTTTTGCATCCTAATTACCTCTACTCTAGGTTATAGAATCATCACCTTTCATGTAAATTATGGTCTCTTCCACACCTCCTTGCCTCTTAACAAGTTTATTCTCACACTGCAGCAAAGCTCTACCCCAACCCTCACTCCCTAAAACTACTGACTAGTCTTAGAAGACCGTTTGTGTTCTGGCTCCTACTTCGCTCTCACTACGTGACCCCTCTTCTCACCCTCGTTTTATGCTTCAGCAATTCTGAAACATTCATGATTTTTTCGGTTCAAGGCACTTACAGGTGCCAACTCCTGGGTGATTAAAATGTTCTGGAAGGAGACAGTGGTGGTGGTTGCACAACTTGTAAATATTCCTGACTCTCAACTGCCCATATCTTCCTTGTCCTTAAGGTCTGTGCTAACATGAATGTTACTTCCCTTGGTTGAGTCTTCCCTGACCCTTCCACAGCCAGGCTAGTTGCTCTCCTTCAGGCTACTTTAGTACCATGCACTTCATCCCATCTTCACACTTGTTATTATACTACAACAGTCTGCTATGCTTCCAGACTGTAAGCTCCTTAAAGGAATGTACACATAGCATCTGTTCGTAGATCATTCTACCCCTACATCTAGCAGAGGTTGGCACATAGTAAGCACTAAAGAACCAGATGTGATGACTCGCACCTGTAATTCTAGCACTCTGGGAGGTTGAGGTAGGAGGACTGCTTGAGGTGAGTTCGAGACCAGCCAAAGCAACATAGTGAGACTCCCACCTCTGCAAAAAACTTAAAAATTACCCAGATGTGGTGGTACACACTTGGGTTCCCAGCTACTCAGGAGGCTAAAGTGGGAGGATCGCTTGAGCCCAGTAGGTCGAGGCTGCAGTGAGCTGTGATCACACCGCGGCACTCTAGCCTGGGCGATAGAGAAACCCCATCAATAAAATAGAGTAAGCACTCAACATGCTTCCTGCGTGAATGAAATGTAGTAACACCAGTAAGTCAACTGTTTTTATATTGCTTTTTGTTGTTGTTGCCCAGTAAGAAAAACTTTTACATGCCTAAAAATAATTTACATGCATTCTGAACAAAAAAAAAAATGCACATCCACCTACATTTTTCCATAGGGTTATAAAAGTGACCTAATAATTTTTACAAGACATGTCACAAACAATGTTTCTAGAATTTACCCCTTTAACTCTCTATTTGTGAAACCCTGGGAGATACCTTAACTATTAATGGGCTAAGTTTACTTTTTAAAAAATTATATTATTATGATTATATTTCAGAGACAGGGTCTCACTTGGTTGCCCAGGCTGCAGTGCAGTATTATTCACAGGTGTGATCATAGCATACTATAGCCTGAAACCCCGGGCTCAAGCAACCCTCCTTCCTCAGCCTCCAGAATAGCTAAGACTATTCACAGGTGTGATCATAGCACACTATAGCCTGAAACTCCTGGGCTCAAGCAACCCTCCTGCTTCAGCCTCCAGAATAGCTAGGTCCACACTACCACACATACTAAGCTTATCTGCAAAATACAAAAATGATTACTTCGCGGGCATGGTGGCTCACGCCTGTAATCCTAGGACTTTGGGAGGCTAAGCTGGGTGGATCACAAGGTCAGGAATTCGAGACTAGCCTGGCCAAGATGGTGAAACCCCATCTCTACTAAAAATACAAAAATTAGCCAGGTGCAGTGGCAGGTGCCTGTAATCCCAGCTATTCAGGAGGCTGAGGCAAGAGAATTGCTTGAACCCAGAAAGCAGAGGTTGCTATGAGCCAAGATCATGCCACTGCACTGCAGCATGGGCAATACAGCAAGACTGTTTCAAAAGAAAACTGCTTCACATTTCATTTCTTCAGGAGGATGCTGTAAGAACCAACTAAATGTATGGCCGGGCGTGGTGGCTCAAGCCTGTAATCCCAGCACTTTGGGAGGCCGAGGCGGGTGGATCACGAGGTCAAGAGATCGAGACCATCCTGGTCAACATGGTGAAACCCCGTCTCTACTAAAAATACAAAAAATTAGCTGGGCATGGTGGCATGTGCCTGTAATCCCAGCTAGTCAGGAGGCTGAGGCAGGAGAATTGCCTGAACCCAGGAGGCGGAGGTTGCAGTGAGCCGAGATCGCGCCATTGCACTCCAGGCTGGGTAACAAGAGCGAAACTCCGTCTCAAAAAAAAAAAGAACCAACTAAATGTACATACATCATTTGGCTTACTTGAAAAGGCACCACATTAATATAAAGGACAATACCAAGGCAAAGAAAAGTTCCACAGTCTAATTACTTTCTATACCCCTTAACCAATGCAAAACTTTATGACTTAACTTGATAAGAGATGATGGCCCTTTTTATAAACATTTCCAAAAAAGAAAGGCTAAGCACACTCACAAATGGTAAACAAGGTTGCCATGTTTTCCTTGTTTGAATTGGAGTCTTCCATTTGCAGTGAAGGTGGTACAAAAGAAAGACTGTCTGAAGATACATCTACATGACCTGTCCCCATAGCAACCTCCTGGGTGATGGAGGAGACAGCCACCGGTTCTAGGCTGAGGCCAACTTCATGGAGGGAAACAGATTCTAGGGAGGCAAGGTTGTGTGAGGTAGAGAGTGCCACGCTTACAGAGTTGGTGCTCATGGCCACAGTGTGGATGGAGTCACTGAGGGCACTGTCAGACATTCCATTGACCCGATTTGCAATGTGGTCTGTCTCCATGACCACAGGGAGCTCCAGGCCATTCCCATGAATGGGTATCACACCACCATGTCCTACAGTGTCTGCTGCAAGGTTGTTGCTCACAGAATCCACAGACAGAGGTTCATGACTTCTGGAGCCATTTGGGATTTGGGAATGCTCGCCTGCAACACCATCCATTGTCAGCTCTTCTGCCATTCCATCTGTTGAAATTGGGCTGGTAACCCTAGAAACATTCTCCATAGTGATTGCTGTGTCCAAGGCCACCTCATGGCCATCACTGGAATGAAGACTTTGGGCACCATGTGTGTTCACAGAGCGAGAGTCTATTGAAACAATGCCTGGTTCTAATCCAACATTTCCATTGGACTGATAGGGATCTAGGGCTGAAGGGTTATTGGTGATAGATAATGCTGTATTACCATCAACATTTATAGAGTTGGGGTGGATGTACTGAGGTGGTGGTCTGTCAGCTAAATAAGATAAAATGCCTGTGTAAAGGAAAAGATGAGATATCAGAGACTTTTAGTACATTATTAAAGAATTCCAAGTACTAGAAGCTATTTCCTGACAAATATAACTAAGTTCAAATAATCTCCTGTTTCCTTAATCAATACCTATATTTTTAGCAACATACCTATAATTGAGTTTTTCCTGTAAAACTCCAAAAATCCTACAAAAATTAACTATGTGCCTTTGAAGCCAACTGGAAATCACTAATATAAATGCTGCCTTTAATATACATATGGTTGCAATTCCTGAGTCCAAGGGAATAAAATTTGCTCTAATTATTAAAAGGTAAAATGATTTAAAAACCAATCTTCTATGTGTAAAATAAAACTTACATATCATTAAACTATCATAACACATTAAACTATTTAATACAAAGTCACAATTGTACCTGTTTTATTAAAACAAAAAAAATTAACACTTGTACTTGGGAGGATGTGGTGAATTACTTACTAAACTGCCAGTGAGAAGGTAAACTACTAAAACTTCTTTGTGAAGTATATATATTAGGAACCTCAAAAATGTTCATACCCTCTTATACAAGAAATTCCACTTAAGGTAATCTTCTCTAAATCCATTTTGTAAATATTATATACAAAGATGTTCATAAGAGCATTAATTACAATGGTAATAAAAACCGGAAAAACCAAACTGTCCAAAAATAAAGATTAATAAACCATTAACTATCCATTCAGTAGAAAGTAATACATCATTAAAAAGGATAATTATGAAAACCATGTAGCAGCAAAGGAAATGTCTAGGTAACAGCAAAGAAAGTATGGTCTTGGGCCAGGCACAGTGGCTCACGCCTGTGATCCCAGCACTTTGGGATGCCAAAGTGGACAGATGGTTTCAGCTCAGGTGTTCGAGACCAGCCTGGGCAACATCGTGAAAGCCAGTCTCTTTTTTTCAAAAAGTTATTTATAAGAAAGAAAGAATATTTTGGTCTCAAGGCAGGCATGTACCTGTAGTCCCAGTTACTCAAGAGTTTGAGGTGAGAGGATCACTTAAGCCCAGGAGTTCCAGTCTAGCCCGGGCAACATAGTGAGACCTCACCTTCCTTAAAAAAAAAAAAAAAAAAAAAAAAAAGAAAAGAGAGAGAGGAGAGAGAAACATTGTGGTTTTAATTATGAAAACTGGAAAAAAAAAATACCTACACACTAAAATAAAAAGCAGGAAGAAGTACACCAAAAAGATTGGTGATGGGACTGAGTGGTTCCCTTCCCTTATTTGCTAAATTTTCTGCAATAAGTATATAGTAATTTTATAACAGAATAAAAATTCTAATGAACTCTAAAAAACAATGACACTGTACCAAGACTCTATAGTGCTTGACTGGAATGGTAACTGCAGAATCATAAACACTAAATGAAAGAGATACCGGAGGAGAAGAAAAATTATGTGCAATTAAGAAATTCAACTTAGTCAAACCGTATTAATGTTACATGAACATTCTAAGAGGAAAAGTACATAAATGAAGATATTTTTCCTGCCTAGAGATTAATATCTAAGAGTGATAAACAGAAAAAAGTATCATTCAAATTTTCTGGAACTAAGATTAAAAGGTGGCTCTGTTCTCTTTTTTCTAACATCCCAAATAACTGTGACACTTACCAGGTAGAATGGTTCTGAAATAACTGCTCTCCAGGTGAGGGTAAGGTGGTGGAGGTAGGGTGTAGTTTCTTTCAGGTAACCCACACATCACCCCTCGATCCCCAATACCCATTGGGAGCATTAGAGACAAAGCAGAAGGCAGAGAGCTCAGGGAGGGACCCAGGTTTGGAATTGCCACTGGCAGGCCTACAAAACAAAATGTTTTTTCTCAGATAAAACAAAATACAAAATTAAAAATTCTCACTATACCACTGGCTGAACTCTCAGAAAGGTTTTTACATATGGGCAAAAACCTCACCTAGTAGCCTTTTTCATCCTTAGATGACATGCAAACATCCACAAACAGGCCTCAACAAAGTAGTCTTAGTCTCAAAGATAGTTCTTAAGTTAGTTTCAAAACTGACAAGTTGATACTCCAATTGTCTGTATTGCACTTAAATACCAAATTAATTAATTAATTTATTTATTTATTTTGAGACAGAGTCTCACTCTGTCACCCAGCCTGGAGTGTAGTGGTGTGATCTCGGCTCACTGCAACCTCTGCCTCCCAGGTTCAAGTGATTCTCCTACCTCAGCCTCCTGAGTGACTGGGATTACAGGCACGCACCACCAAGCCCAACTAATTTTTGTATTTTTGCTAGAGATGGGGTTTCACCAGGTGAAAGACTGGTCTGGAACTCTTGGCCTCAAGTTATCTGCCTATCTCAGACTCCCAAAGTGCTGAGATTGTCACCATGCTCGGCCAAAATATTTAATTTAGAATTAAAAACCTAGTTTAAACACAAGAAAACAAATTACATATAGAAAAAAAAAAAACAACAACAACAATGGAAAGATACAAAATATTCATAGGGAATGGTCCCTAGGTAGTGATATCATAAATTTTGGGAGGTATTTTTAAACTTTATTATGTCGACCATTCTATATGGTCAGAATATTTCACTTCCGCTTGGAAAATAATTTAGACGTAAAACTGTATATACACCCTTTCATACAATCTTTTGTATATATGCTATACCTTCATGATTAATAAAAAATTTAAACCTGAAATTGTTTCTACTTTGGCTTATATATACTTGCAAAGTGAAGTGACTGATACTGTGCCTAAGTATCATAATAAATACATACTAATTTGGTCAGTGCTTATTTGCACATGTTTGCCAGGGGCAATATTTTCTTTTCTTTCTTTTTTTTTTTTTTGAGACAAGGTTTTGCTCTGTTGCTTAGGCTGCAGTGTGCTAGCATGATCTGGCTCACACAGCCTCAGCTTTCAGAGCTCAAGTGGTCCTCCCATCTCAGTCTCCCAAGTAACTGGGACTACAGGCGTGTGCTATCACACCCAGCTAATTTTTTTTTTCCTTTGTAGAGACGGGAGTCTTCCTGTGTTACCCAGGCTGATCTCAAACTCCTGGGGTCAAGTGATCCTGCCTTGGCTTCCCAAAGTGCTGGGATTAGAGGCATGAACCACCATGCTTGGCCGACAAGTTTTTTTTTAACAGGCTTTTCCTCCTTAACAAGAGTGTTCACTAAAGGGAATGCCTATAAAACAATCAAATGGGTTAACCACTAATAATTTTTTTTAAATTTCTTTTGTGGACACTTAAATAAATGTAAAGAGATACTAGTTTCAATGAATCTTATTTAACTGCGGCATTTTATCAAGCAAGTAATTCTCTTTAGGGAACTATTTAAACAATATATATATTTATTTACACTAACTCCTACTTTGACAAAGAAAGTCCAATACATTACAATGTCATTGATCCTAAAGAACTGATAGCTTATCACTGTAAGAATCAATAGAATATTAATTTCATTTCTATTCCATTTCAATAGAGTAAGAAATGAAGCTAGGCAGAAAAAGGTTTTTAAAAGTATAGTGATAGCCAGGCGCACTGGTTCACGCCTGTTATCTCAGCACTTTGGGAGGCTGAGGTAGGTAGATCACCTGAGATCAGGAGTTTGAGACCAGCCTGGACATGGTGAAACCCCCTCTCTACTAAAAAAATACAAAACTTAGCCAAGCACAGTGGTGTGTTCCTGTATCTCAGCTACACAGGAGGCTGAGGCAGAAGAACCGCTTGAACCTGCAGGGAGGTGGGGGCTGCAATGAATCGAGATTGCACCAATGCAATCCAGCTTCAAAAAAAAAAAAAAAAAAAAAAAAAGGACAGTGTTAAGAGAATGAATTTTTCCTATACTATTTTGCTATACTGGAGGCTCATGTGGAGTTGCATGTAAAAGCCCCATGTCTAGTACCACGCTTCTTTCCACATAATTCTAGACCAGGTGCACTTGCAGTTACTGCCATTCAATTTCAAACCTGGTGGAATACAAAGCCCAATTCCCCCACGCTCTCTGGGAATAGTTATTAGAGCAACTTTAACTGACTCTCTTCTATTAACCCATGGACAGGGCAAACAGTGTGAACTAGATGAATGGGCAACCCTCAATAAAATGCCAAGTTATTACAGCTCTGGACAAAAAACTACCAACTCGAAAGAGGACTATCAGAAAAAAACTGTTACTCCTATCCACTAGAATTCTAATACTCTTCTACCAAAAATCTTATTTTCAATTACCTACTACATGTGGAACCACCTTTCAGGCTTGCTTACCTTTTCCCTTTTACCCTTAGAGGGGCTCTGATCTCTTCTAGGCTCCATTCAGAATTGATAACACAGTTAAGTGTTGAAATGCAGGTCTCCTTTACCACTCACCTGGTGCAGGGATGGCACTGTGAGTGGGTGAGGCAGCCAATCCCAGGTGACTTCCTGAGACTGGCAAGGCATTGCTCACAGAGGATGAAGTCAGCTGCTCCATCCCCACTGGGCTCAGGTTCATTTCATTCATCCTAGAAAAGACCATATACAACTAGTTATGCAAAACTTTACCTCCATGACCTATATTAAGATACTGAAGAACCTGAAACAGAGGGGATGGGGAAATGGGACTTGGCCAACTATTACTTGACTTTTATGCTCAACAATTCTCTTAGATAGCTAGTGCCAAATTCTTTCTACTGATTGAAAGAAAACTGAGATTGAGACATTAACAAACTCAAGTCAATGTCACATAGCAGAAATAGGATTTGAATTCTGCTTTGTCTGAAACTCTATGCACAACATCTAAAGTAAAGTTGCAATCCTTAGAGCACAATGGCAATGAGAATTTGTTTTTTTTAAATCACTCAAGTTTCGTCTTTTATAATACGTATTTTTCTCTAAATGGCTTATTATTTCAAACCAGTTTTTCAGGCAATGCATTTTAACCTACTCAAATAAATTTCACTCATGATTTTTAACAGGAGTTAAAGATCCAGATTATCAACGATATGAAAAGCACCGTATTTTCCCCATTGAGCAATGGCTTACTAAAATTCTGTATCAGTATATTCATGTCCTAATCTTAATGTCCTCCATATATTGAGGGTCACTATGTAGGCTTTGCTACCACTTCATTTAAAATGACTTCAAATCCTCACATCAATACTGCAAAGTAAGATAAATGAGGGAACTATGGCTCAAAGAGGCCATGTCTTATGCCCCAAATCACATAGCTATTAGGTGAAAGAGCACAGATCAAACTGCAAAACACTGCCAAAAAGTGTTCTCAACCGTTTTTTAAACTACAGACTATTTTTGGCAAGTTGAAGAATCTAGGAATCACCTTTTCTATGCAATCCATTTTGCACTGCCATTACAAAAGTCTTTCAAATAAGAGTGTTGATTTGAATAAAATAGCACTGAAGGCTGTTATCAAGAAGTATTAGTTCTTACATTAGAATTTAGAGACTGCCATGTTATAAACATTATGGAGCCACTAGGCTAGCCATCACGCTTTCCCAAAGGAGGCTCTCTAATGACCTCCAGTCCTTACACTGGGCATCATCATAATGCATTCTTCTTCCGCATATTGGAGGGATAAAGCCGAGAAAAGGAATCAAATGTGGTTACATATTCCTTAGCAGTGAAAGCAAATCTAAATAGATTTTTAATTCTGAAAAATAGCAACGCCATTTTATCAATCAATCTGAAAATGAATAACAGCTAAAGTTTATGGCTCCCTTACCATGTATTGGGCTTACTATGTATTGGGCTAAGTGATTTACATGTCACTATCTCTCTTAATCCTTTTGTTGTTGTTTTGTTTTTTGGAGACAGAGTTTCACTCTTGCGGCCCAGGCTGGAGTGCAGTGGCGCAATCTCGGCTTACTGCAACCTCTGCCTCCCAGATTCAAGTGATTCTCCTGCCTCAGCCTCCCGAGTAGCTGGGACTACAGGCATCTGTCACCACACCTGGCTAAATTTTTGTATTTTTAGTAGAGATGGGGTTTCACCATGTTGGCCAGGATGATCTCCATCTCCTGACCTCGTTATCCACCTGCCTCAGCCTCCCAAAGTGCTAGAATTACAGGCGTGAGCCACTGCGCCCCGCTGTTGTTTTGTTTTTGAGACAGGGTTTTGTTCAGTTGCTGCAGGCTGGAGTGCAGTGGCGATATCACAGCTGATTGCCACCTCTAACTCCTAGGCGTGCCTGGCTAATCTGTTTTTATTTTGCAGAGATGGGGTTTCCCTATATTGCCCAGGCTGGAGGTTATTACTCTTAATCACACTTGAAAGATGAGGAAATTTAAGATTCGGCGATGCTAAGAAACTTAATCCAGAATCACATAACCAGTGAGAGTTGGCATTTAAATTCAGATATAATTTAAGAAATCAAAGCTCTTAACTATAGTTAAAAAAAAAAAGACAAATTATAATAAAACAACTATTAGGCCTTTTACACAGTTGCAATACATTAGGGCCTGTCTACTCATATTGTGGTGTATATTTAAAGTTTCACATAGACCTGTTCCCCGCACTATTATACATGAATAGGTTTCACCCTTATCCCTGACCACGTATCCCATAAAACTGAGCTCTAAGACATCAATAAAATGTACAAGGCCAACCTACTACCTTGTATAGAACACACATTCTGAAAATTGTTTTTATTTGGATGTAGCAATGCAAACTCATCATCCTTACCAGAAAGACAGCTAGAAGCACCTGGGAAATGAGGTACACCTTATGAAGAACAGCATGCTAATAACAGTTTTTATTACACTATAAAATGAAGCAGGCCAGGCGTGGTGATTTATATCTGTAATCCCAGCACTTTGGGAGGCCAAGGATCGCTTGAGCCCAGGAGTTGGAAACCTGCCTAGGCAACAAAAGGAGAACCCTGTCTCTACCAAACATTTTTAAAAAAATAGCCAGGCATAGTGGTTCCTGCCTGTGGTTCCAGCTACAGGGGAGGCTGAATTGAAGAGGTCGGGGCTGCAATGAGCTCTGATTGCAACAGTAGACTCTCAGCTGGGGTGACAGAGTGAGACTGTGTCTTTAAAAAAAAAAAAAAATAAGAAAATCCCTGTAGCCTAAAGAAAACATGTCTATGTTAATTTTTAAAGTTGCTGGCCTTGAATTGGTTTAAAACAGACTTTTCCCTATAACCTTTATAGCTACAACCATAACTAAAACACTACAATCACTACAGCCATAACAGCCTACTTCACAGATTGGTTACAATAATTTTTTAAAAGCACAACTGTTAAGTCTGCAGCTTCAACTCTCATTCTGAAAATTCCTGAATATTTATTTAATCTCGAGATAAAAATCAGCATGGTGTTTCTAGGTTGAGTCCTAGGCCTTCTCAAACCAGTTCAAACCAGAGTTGAATGTGAGAGGCTCAGCAGATTTCTGCTTTGTTGTCAGTCACTAAAACGTGATGACCTCAGCAGCCATAAACCAAAGGTAACGAGTATCCCACAGAGAGAAAGCAGATGAAGGGAATGTACAATATGATCCTCAAGACTTTCTCATTCTAAAGTGCAATTCTACTCTCATTTTTTTCTATGAGATTCTATGAAGCAATCCCAGAAGGCGGCAAGAATCAAGATACTCAGCTCTATCTTCCCTACTCATTTCGAGTAAAATCATTTCCTACAGTTCTACAGTTTATGTTTCTAACTGCCCTATGAAACCACCTGCCAGTTGCCGATTTTACACCTTTTTCTTCGTATAAAATATAAGAAGCTAGCTGAAATGCAGCCACTTTGCAAAATGCAATAGAGCTTCAATAATTTCAACATATTTGTACCTTATTTCCCTCATTATAAACATACGGTCTTTGAGAGGGCCCTGAAAAAACAAAAAATAAAATAAAAACCAGCGAAATACAACGATTTCTTTGGCCTGCTTCTGTACTTGCAGAATTAAGAACTTAATTCTTTCACTCTATCGTCCCTACCACACCAGCAAAACTCAAGGTGAAGCATAACAGTACACACTGAAATCCAGAAAAATATATTGTTAAACGCTCAAATAACTATAACAGGAAAAAGGTGTCAACCAGCCAACAATAAATGTGAGGCTATTGGGAACAACTTTTCACACGTGGAGTAAATTAGGGTGCTTGAGATTACATTCCACCCAACACTAGTTTGATTTCTTGCCCTTTGCAAATCACACCTGTAACCTTCTCAACAGCACCAGAAAACAACGGCACTGACCCTGGAGCTCGCTTGCCAGATAGTTTCCAAAGATGTCACCATTGCTGAAGCCTACCTCCCTACTCACCTGTGATGCATCCGCCTGGGGCCAAATGTCGGAGAAAGGAGCGCTCGGGTGGTGGGGAACCGGCATCAGGGTTTGCGTTCCAGGGTCACGTACTACCGCATCTTGCTCACAACCTCAGCACCGACGTGGCCAATCGTCCCCGGGGCCGCCCAGGGCCTCCCAATTTCTCCCAAGGGCCGGAGGCCCTGCACCCCGCCACGGGTTGGAGCATGTCGAAGAACACCTGGGGCCTTCCGTCCAGAAGCTTCGCGAGGGGGGCCGCCCAACCTGGGGGAGTGGAGAAAAGGGCGGTCACCAAAACCACAGGGAGCTCGTAGCTCCAGTCTTCCAGTCACCTGAGAGCCCCAGGCGCTGCGGACGCCGCCTCCCAAGGGCCGTGGTGTCGCCTGCCTGCCCGGGGCCCGCAGGCGCCGCCCCGCCCCGCCTCGCCCCGGCGGGGCCCGCGCGCAGCCCACCTGCCAGCTGCGCTGGGGGCGCGCGCGCCTGCCCCACCGCTTTGTTCCTCATCCGGGCAGTGTTCGCCTCGGGGCCCTGCCCGTCCGCTCGGCCCCCTCACCCCGGGGGCCGCTGCCCTAACGTTTCCCGCCCGGCCCGGCCCGGCCCTTCCCGGCCCGCCGCCTCCTCAGGGCCGCACCCTCCGCGGTGCGTTTCCGGCTCTTCAGCCACTCTCGGCGCCTGCCACTAGGCCCCAGTGCGTGCAACCCTCCCCGCCGCGACCCGCAAGCGGCGCCCGCGCCCCGCCGCGCCCCTCTCCCAGCCCGGGTCCCTCTGCGCGTGCGCACGGAAGATGCGCAGGCCGCGAGAAGCTCCGCCGGGAGCTCAGTATCTCCATCCGGCCGTGTCGAATCGAGCGCCGAGCGATCGACCCGTGGTTGCTAGGCGACCAGGGCTGCTGTGCCCGCAGCGGCTGAGTTTTGAATCCCGTAAATCCCGCGGACTCAGGATTTCAGTCTTCATCGTATTCCGCTACTAGGGAAGCCTGGGTCCACACAATGCCCCAAAAATTCGAAGTACGGAATTTAGCCCCGGGAGTTGTCGTTGTTGCCCAGGAGGAATTGGGATTCTATGCTATTTTTCACCGTCTGCTACACCTGAAGGCTGCCCAGTTTCCCTGCTTCCCGTCATACATGCTGGGGTTTGGGATTTTAAACAAATTTTCTTCCTCTTTTCTCTGCAGTTCTCTACTGTGCGTCTAACGCTAAGGGTACCGAGATGGTTTTAAAGGAGGATGGTCCCAAGCTCCTGAGCAGTAGACGTGGAAACTACACCACACTGCCTGGTGGCTCCCATACGCCAGCAGAACAGCAGACTCAGGAATTCTTCCTCCTCAAAGCGTTCGTTGAATTACATCTCAAACCTAGGGATACAGGCAAGGCACAAGCCCTGACCTTCACCTGCATGCAGTGTAGTGGGGACTGATGAATTTTGAAAATTCAGTCTAATGTGAAAGGGAACATGCAACGTTTTGAAGGAGAGCGGGGAGGGGTTTCAACCCCCATGATGTTTCCCTTCCTTTACTTCTCATGGGGAGAAAGCACATTCCAGATGAGGAAACAGCACTGAACATCGGCAAGCAGGTCACATTGGTTTTGCCCTCTGTTGACAACACATAGAAATCTAAATGAAGAAGGTCCTCCTCCCAACTGAGAGACAGTATTCCCTGAAATGCCACTTCAAATCTGGAGCCTAGAGAATGATGATGTATCTTATTACCAGGTGAATACTTTCACTAGGTTTGGGTTTGGATGTCTATTCTTTTGGAACAATTTTTATTAAGTTTAGAGGTGAACATAAAAATCAGGTCACATAGGCCGGGCGCGGTGGCTCAAGCCTGTAATCCCAGCACTTTGGGAGGCCGAGGCGGGTGGATCACGAGGTCAAGAGATCGAGACCATCCTGGTCAACATGGTGAAACCCCGTCTCTACTAAAAATACAAAAAATTAGCTGGGCATGGTGGCACGTGCCTGTAATCCCAGCTACTCAGGAGGCTGAGGCAGGAGAATTGCCTGAACCCAGGAGGCGGAGGTTGCAGTGAACCGAGATTGCGCCATTGCACTCCAGCCTGGGTAACAAGAGTGAAACTCCGTCTCAAAAACAAAAACAAAAACAAAAACAAAAATCAGGTCACATAAATATAAGAGCTAAACCCATAATACTTACAGAAGAAAATAAAGGCAAAAATCTTTGTAACCTTGATAGGACACGAAACCCACAAACTATTAAAAAAAAATTGGACCAGGTACAGTGGCTCTCGCCTCAGCATTTTGTGAGACTGAGGTAGGAGGATGGCTTGAGCTCAGGAGTTTGAGACCATCCTGGCCAACAAAGTAAGACCCTGTGTCTACAAAAAATTAGCTGGTCATAGTGATAAGCATGTGTAGTCCCAGCTACTTGGAAGGGTCAGGCAGGAGAATAGCCTGTGCCCAGGAGTATGAGGTTGCAATGAACTAAGATTGTGCCACTGCACTCCAGCTCTGGTGACAGAGAGACCCTGTCTCAAAAAAAAAAAAAAAAAAAAGAAAGGACAAATCAAAATTCATCAAAATTAAAATGGTTGGTCTTGAAAAGATACTGCAAAATGTATCAACAGCTTGTTCTTTTGAAAAGTCAAGCCAGGGACTGGGAGAAAATATTTTCAAAATAAGTATCTGACAAAGGATTTGTATTGAATATGTAAATAACCCTTTCAACCCAATAATAAGACAATTCAATTTAAAAATCGAGGCAAAAATGTCAACAGCAATTTCGCTAAAGAAGATACATGAATGGCAATTAAGCACAGAAAAAGATGTACAACATCATTAGGTATCAAAGAAATGCAGATCAAAGCACAATGAAGTGCTATAACACACCTACTAGAATGGCTAAAATTAAAAAGACCAACTATAACAAGTGTTGGCACATATATGGAGCAACTGGCACTCTCACATTTTGTTGGTGAGAATGCAAAAAAATACCAATTGCCACAGTCATTTTAGAATGGGAATTTCTTTTCTTTTTCTTTTTTTAGACAGAGTTTTACTCTGTCACCCAGGCTGGAGTGCAGTGGTACAGTCACGGCTCACTGCAACCTCCGCCTCCTGGGTTCAAGTGATTCTCCTGCCTCAACCTCCCCAGCAGCTAGGATTACAGGTGCTTGCCAACATGCCGGGCAAATTTTTGTATTTGTAGTAGAGATGGGGTTTTACCATGTTGGCCAGGCTGGTTGCAAACTCCTGACCTCGAGTGATCCGCCTGCCTTGGCCTCCCAAAGTGCTGGGATTACAGGTGTGAGCCACTATGCCTGGCCAACAATTTCTTATACCTCTTATACCATATAATTCTCCATATTCCTTAGGTATTTACCAAAGAAAAATTAAAACATGTACAAAGACTTGTACATCAATGTCCATAGCTGCTTTACCTATAATAGACCAAAATAGAAAATGACCCAAATGTCCATCAACTAGTAATGAATAATGATAGTGTACGACCATTTTGTGAAGAGACAAAGACTGAGCGGTTGTGTCTGCGTTGCCAACCTCGAGCAGCAGTCGGCTTCTGCATGTAGACCCAGGGAGTAGGAGACTCAGAATTGAATCCCTTCTCCCTCCTCCCTCCTGTTTTCGGCTTTGTGAGAAACCTTATCATCAAACACAGTGGCCAGCAACGTTACCAACAAGACAGATCCTCGCTCCATGAACTCCTGTGTGTTCATTGGGAATCTCAACACTCTTGTGGTCAAGATATCTGATGTGGAGGCAATCTTTTCAAAGTACGGCAAAATTGTGGGCTGCTCTGTTCATAAGGGCTTTGCCTTCGTTCAATATGTTAATGAGAGAAATGCCCGCGCTGCTGCAGCAAGAGAGGATGGCAGAATGATTGCTGGCCAGGTTTTAGGTATTAACCTGGCTGAAAAGCCAAAAGTGAACCGAGGAAAAGCAGGTGTGAAACGATCTGCAGCAGAGATGTATGGCTCCTCTTTTGGCTTGGACTATGACTTTCAACGGGATTATTATGATAGGATGTACAGTTACCCAGCACGTGTACCTCCTCCTCCTCCTATTGCTGGGGCTGTAGCGCCCTCGAAACGTCAGTGTGTATCAGGAAACAGCTCATGAAGGGGCAGAAGTGGCTTTAATTCTAAGAGTGGACAGCGGGGATCTTCCAAGTCTGGAAAGTTGAAAGGAGATGACCCAGATAAAACAAAAAGTGGATTCTCTCCTGGAAACCCTGGAAAAAACTGAGAAGGAACAGAGCAAACAAGCAGTAGAGATGAAGAATGATAAGTCAGAAGAGGAGCAGAGCTGCAGCTCCGTGAAGAAAGATGAGACTCACGTGAAGATGGAGTCTGAGGGGGTGCAGCTGACCCGGCTGAGGAGGGGGACCTACTGGATGATGATGATAATGAAGATCAGGGGATGACCAGCTGGAGTTGATCAAGGATGATGAAAAAGAGGCTGAGGAAGGAGAGGATGACTCTTAAGCACATAGTGGGGTTTAGAAATCTTATCCCATTATTTCTTTACCTAGACGCTTGTCTAAGATCAAATTTTTCACCAGATCCTCTCCTCTAGTATCTTCAGCACATGCTCACTGCTTTCCCCATTCTTGTCCTTCCCATGTTCATTAATTCATATTTCCCTGCGCCTAGTCCCATTTTCACTTCCTTTGACGCTCCTAGTAGTTTTTGTTAAGTCTTACCCTGTAATTTTTGCTTTTAATTTTGATACCTCTTTATGACTTAACAATAAAAAGGATGTATGTTTTTTTTTTGTCTTTTTTTTTTTTTAATTATAGTGTACAGCAGGTGTCCTCAAACTACAGCCCGCGGGCCGCATGCAGCCCCCTGAGGCCATTTATCCGGCCCCCCTGCCACACTTCAGGAAGGGGCACCTCTTTCATTGGTGGTCAGTGAGAGGAACACAGTATGTGGTGGCCCTCCAATAGTCTGAGGGACAGTGAACTGGCCCCCTGTGTAAACAGTTTGGGGACGCCTGGTGTACAGTATCTATACAGTGGAACTCTACTTAAAAATAAAAAAGAACAAGCTGTTGATACATGGATGGATCTCAAAAGCCATATTATGCTAAGTGAAAGAAACCAGACACAAGATACTACATATTATGAGTCCAGGTATATGAAATTCTAGGAAAGGCAAAACTGTAGTAATAGCAGATAAGTGATTGTCAGACATTGGAAATGGGTAGGGGGATGAGATTGCCTACAAGGGGGCATAAGGGAACTTTTAGGAGTGATGAAAATGGTCTTGATTATGGTAGAAGTTACACAACTGTGTATGTATCTATCCAAATTAATCAAATAGTAAATTTGACATTGGTGAGGGTTTTTGTTTTGTTTTGTTTTGTTTTTTTGAGATGGAGTCTTACTCCGTTGCCCAGGCTGGAGTGCAGTGGTGTGATCTCAGCTCACTGCAACCTCCAACTTTCAGGTTCAAACAATTCTCCTGCCTCAGCCTCCCAAGTAGCTGGGATAACAGGCACTCACCACTACACCCTGCAAATTTTTTGTATTTTTAGTAGAGATGGGATTTCACTCTGTTGGCCAGGCTGGGTTCGAACTGCTGACCTTGTGATTCACCCACCTCAGCCTCCCAAAGTGCTAGGATTATAGGTATGAGCCACCGTGCCCAGCCAGTGAGTTTTATTGTATGTAAAAATACCTCAAAAAGTCAATTAAAAAAAGTATGTCAAGATTACCAAAGATTGAAGTGTTCTGATTCTACTCCCCAGACTAGGCACACTGTTTGCTTTCTCATAGTGCCTCTCTTTATTGTAATAAATTGT